GACTCACGTGCGGGTAAGGTGAAAGTGGCCAAAGCTGTTGACAAGTGAAGAAGCACGTGGAGGGCATGTGGCCACGTGGGAGTGCGTATCAGACCTCAGTTTGTCCCGTTCGACTCCTTTTGACCTTTTCTATCAATATTGGCTCATATTAACCCTAAATACTACTAAGTATAGGTGTAATCGGAAGAACTTGGGAAGAAATAACTACTTTAAGGACGTTTTACACAAGAAACGGGCTAAGCGATACAAGTACGTAGCATATCAAAGCTCCTAAACAAGTCTTGGACTTGATATGTATGATAAGCATGTCAATCTTGTGAATAGGAACTCAAATACGTGATTGAATAATGGCAGCATGACCTAATTTAGTAGAATCATGATCGCAAGCATAGAATATGAGCTTGTTAAGGAATCATCATTAGTATGCATAGACTCTAGTATAAGCTTATGAGCTTGTCATAATGCATGATTCGATAGATATGCCATATTGTATGATAGTACGATGTAGGAACCACTACGGGTTCGAGAAATGAACTCCAATAACGATTAGGCCTCACATACAACTATAGTTGGATGGATGATAGGATTGTTCAACTCATGGGATCTTTTCAACAAGATAGAAGAATCCAAATCAACACCCCTATTAGCATTTGGAGTCGAATTAACAGCTGAAGAAGCATGATTCAAACCCCCCTTCTTTAAATTTCCAATGGCCTCAAAAGCACGAGCTCTCCAAAGGAGAGCACGTACAAATTGGGGCTGGAGCTGGAGGTCCATGGTACACTCAGCAATAGCAGTATCATAATCAATTGGCTTCAATTGCATCAAACAAGCCGCTCTATTGCTATGAAACACAGCTCGATCAGGGTGGGATTTGGGAGTAAGACGAAGTGCATTTCATAATGCTCAAGAGCACCAACAAAATCATAACTCTGGAACCTTTTATTCCCATCTTCTTTAAACTCATGGGCTCTTTTAAAACGATAGAAGAATCCAAATCAACACCCCTATTAGCATTTGGAGTCGAATTAACATCCGAACAAGCATGATTCGAACTACCCTTCTTTTTTCGAGTCCCAGATTTCCCCAAACAGATAAAAGCGAAAATGCAACCCCCTCTTCCACTTTCCCACACGCAGAAGATTCAAATGCCAAACAATAATTACAAATATGAAAAACAACGCTCAGAAATTGCAAGATTTCTCGCGGAAAAACTCGAGGCAGAGCAAGTAGACTTACAAACCTGGAATCTGAAAGTAGAGATAGCTGGATTATCTGGGACGCCCTAGGAAGCGAATCGGATTGGGTGAAGATCAAAATTCAAGTTAGATAGCGAGGTGTTGGTAGAAGAGAGAATTCTTGGCGAAAGTTCAGTGAGCGAAAACCCTAGATAGAAGAGGACGGGTTTGGATACAGGTGAGGTCTAATCTTCAAATGTGGATCCCAACTCGTTTACGTTCTATTAGCCGTCGGATCGAACAAACTCACGGTGGCTTCAGTCTTTGATGGACCCATCAAAATATCTCTGTGAGATTTGTGAAGCCTCGATCATGGGAGGAGCCGGGTGTCACAATCCACAATGGGATTGTACCCCGAAAAAGTCATCGAAGACAATGGCTAATTATTTAAGTAGTGGTATTTCCCCTTACATGAGTGTCGAGGAACTGTCTTAAGGGAATATCGAGTCATGGTCCTTCAACCTCTCCTAGGCGCTCAAGCCCGTGGCATGGCTCTGTAAGTGTTAGGAGGCAAATGCCTAGCCTCGTCCTATGGTGGATGTTGTTCTGCCTCAAGTGCCGGAAATGTGATGTCCTCATCGACCCTTCTTCTACCCCTTATAGGTCCAGGCCCGACGTAAGTTCCTCTTCTCTTAAGTTAATTCCTCGTAAGACTTATTTTTCAATACATATTTAAACAATATACCTAGTCACAATGAGGTCTATCAGAGCTAAGTCACGGAGGTATATAATACTCTACCAACAAAAAAGTCTATAAGACCTAAAACCCGACTACTCTAATACCAATCTATTTTACAACCCGATTTTCGAGGCTTTGAGAAATTAGTCCGCGACTTAAAAGACGAAAACTAAAACCAATAAAAAACAAAAAATTGAAAATGTAGGAAAAATACGATAAAACTTTGTGCGATTTTATAGTACCATGGACGAAAACCAAAATCCAAACCAATAGTATACAAAAACATGTATTGTATTAGTTATTTACAAATAGGGTACGGGTGCGGCATACAAAAGAATATATTGCCAACCCTAAAAAGAATACCGACTAACTGATATCCCTATGTGATAACACAGCTCCTGAACACCTCCCTATCTCGACCCATACCTAAAAAAAAAAAGAAAAAAGGGGAGAGTATAAAAATACTCAGTAAGTAACCTACATGTAGGCTCTCATCGCATCTTTAACGTAATAAGTTTCCATAAGCTTGTCTTAGGGCTCTATAAGGTTCAAGCCTAATTCAGGTATTCCCGGACTATTACTTCACTCCACAATGGTGCCTATAACAAGCTAATCTATTTGTACCGTCTCTCGTCTCCCATTAGAATGGGTTTTCTCCACACACAATAATAGCTCCTCAATATACTACTTATATGCTCACTCGTCCACTCTCAAGGCGAGTTTGTTTTACACACAATGTTATATCCTCAATCAGCTACTTGTATTGTCTCTCGTCCCCTCTCAAGGCGGGTTATTATACACACAATAGCGATTTCTCATGTTAACTACATACGTAGTCTCTCGTCCCCTCTCAAGGTGGGTTATCATACACACAGTAGCATTTCTTCGTGTTACCCACTTACGTAGTCCCTCGTCTCCTCTCAAAACAGGTTATCATGCATACAACGATAGTCCCTTATATAGTCTACTTGTGTAGTCCCCCGTCTCCTATCAATGTAGATTATATCATACACACAGTGACTCATCTAATAGTTTCGTTCGTGTTACCATCGATCTTATAAGTTCTCGTAATTCTCTTTGAGTGTCGTGGAGATTTATTAGGTTTTAGGGCGTCTAGGCAAATTAGGTCACAACTTTCATTTCTAGGTCGCTCGAGGTTAGCTCCTCGTGGCTAAGCCAAATCTTAGGGTGCACCTAGGTCTCTAATCCCCGCTCACGATCTTAGGGTTCTCAGTATATCGAGAATATATTGACCTAAGACATTACATAACACTCAGGTTATACGTCCTAAACTTATTATGATTCATACATGCCTCACTAGAGAGATATTTTATCTATCACCTAGTGCACATAAATCATGATCTAAACGTTCATGTCCATGCAGGTTTAGTAAAGACATATTCCTATTAATCAAGTAAGCATAGATCATGCACACGTTCAAGAAAGGTCACTCCAATCTCTTACTCCAACTCTTACTTGAAATTTATTATTAAAATACGTGAAAATCAAGAACATTTTTCATGTCCAAATTTTTCCATCAACAATACTTATTATACATTCGGTTTGATTAATAATGAAACTATGATGTAATATTCAATTGCTTGGTAGAATAAAGCCCTCGATAACTATTGTAGCTTTGAGGTCGTGACCGGAGCACATATTGTGTTTTCTGGATTGTGCTTCTTAGCAGCTATCTGGCATTGGGTGTATTGGGATCTAGAAATATTTTGTGATGAACGTACAGGAAAACCTTCTTTGGATTTGCCGAAGATTTTTGGAATTCATTTATTTCTCTCAGGGTTGGGTTGCTTTGGTTTTGGTGCATTTCATGTAACCGGATTGTATGGTCCGGGAATATGGGTATCCGATCCTTATGGATTAACCGGAAGGGTACAAGCTGTAAATCCTGCGTGGGGTGTCGAAGGGTTTGATCCTTTTGTTCCGGGCGGAATAACCTCTCATCATATTGCAGCAGGTACATTGGGCATATTAGCGGGCCTATTCCATCTTAGTGTTCGTCCGCCCCAACGTCTATACAAAGGATTACGTATGGGAAATATTGAAACCGTCCTCTCACTTTTTTTTTTCTTTTTAATTTATTTTACATCTGATTTTCTATTGGTTACTGAAAAAAAAAACAAATCTTTTTGTTCGGGAATTTAAAATTATAGCCGTTTTTTAGTCGGGTAGTAAACCAAAAAAAACGTGCATTTCACGTGACTTTCGAAGTAAATATATTTTTTTTATTTTTCTTAATAATCATATCTATTAGATGTACTTTTAACAATTTAATTCAAATACCAAATAATCATATTTAATATGTTATTTAAATAATAAAAATTATAAAAGACTAAAAAAAAAAACACAGCTAAATAATAAATTAAAAATCTATTGAATTCTTAAATTTAATTTTAAGAATTGTTTTTTCGGTTGAATTTTTGAAAAACTAAAAAATCTATTTAATTTATAAAATATAATTTATTTAAAATAATTATAAAAAAAAAACGACAACCAAACCAAATATTATGAACTCTGTCGGGATTGGTCGGGTCCGAGTTTCCAACCTACTTCATGTATACCCCCGAGTTTCCAACCTACTTCATGTATACCCCCGAGTTTCCAACCTACTTCATGTATACCCCCGAGTTTCCAACCTACTTCATGTACACCCCCGAGTTTCCAACCTACTTCATGTACACCCCCGAGTTTCCAACCTACTTCATGTACACCCCCGAGTTTCCAACCTACTTCATGTACACCCCCGAGTTTCTAACCTACTTCATGTATACCCCGAGTTTCCAAAGTTATCAATAAAAGAACAGATAATACATTAAAAAAAAAAAAATTAGAAAACAAAATATTAGGAAAGAAAGGAAAAAACCCATCTCAGTGTTTTCATTTTCTATTGTTAGTTCAAAAACATCCTTCATCCCTCATTCATTCTCAAAACAAAGAAAAAAAAACATCAAGAATAAATAAGAACAGCAGCAAAATTAAAGATCTTTAAAACCCAAGGCAGCAGCGGATTCGGGGCGACAAATCGGGCACCCAATGATCCGAATATCCGACGGGGCGGGCAGGGGGGTATGATTAAGCAACCTGGTCCTCCTTCCAGTCTTTTCTAATATCAAATGTGTAATTGATCTCCAAGTAGCACTTGTTATCATCATCAACAAACTGAGCCAAAAACAAGAACACAAAAAACAAACCCAACAAACCAGCAGACAGGATTATAGACATAGATTCATGTCAAGAACAAGCAATCCAACACAAAACAAAAACATGTCTTTTAAAACAAGGAGTTTCATGTTACTTATTGCATAAGCATATATAATATGCATTGATAGCCATGGCAGATGATATTGATATCAATAATAAGCTGCTTCCCTTAAAGGCAGCCATGTGATGCTACCCATAAATGAGCAGGTGCAGTTGAGATAGATAGCAGCCCTTTAATTGCTCTCCATAAAGGATTCAAATTCAAATTTTGACATCTCCTCACACGTTTCAATGTTCGAGAACTAAAATGACACTAAATCATAACCAATTACAGTTTAAGGACTAGATTGCTCCTCTCTCGTTTCAAAGTTCGAGAACTAAAACAAGACTAAATTGTTACCGATTCAAGTTTAAGGACTAGATTGCTCTCATTTTAAAGTTCTAGAACTAAAATGAGACTAAATTGTCACCGATTCAAGTTTAAGAACTAGATTGCTCCTCTCTCATTTCAAAGTTCAAGAACTAAAACGAGACTAAATTATTACCGATAACAGTTTTAACTCCTCTCTTGTTTCAAAGTTCAAGAACTAAAATGTGACCAAATCATTACCAATTACAGTTTAAGGACTAGATTGTTCGTCTAAATGGTTCAGGATCAGTATCAGAAGTATAATCCAATCAAAATAAGCAGTAGACATTATTCTACTAATCCATTGACATGTTAAAATCATTGAACTGACCTTGCTTCTGGCTGTATAAGATCCCCTAGCAAAGATGCCAGAAGGGGTTGTTTCTTCATGCATCTCATGATCATAAGGTTCAGGCTGAGGGCTAAAGGTTCCAATCATCTCTTTTGTACTATCAACTGTGACAGTAAAAGTAAAACAAACATTGAAAGAACAGTTCTCCATTAATGGCAGAGAGGTTTTTGTGCTTGTTTTTTTACCTTTGACGCCAGTTTTCCAGACTGTATTGGTATATTTGAGGCCAGAAACAATGTTATTGCTGACCTGAAAAGTGAACTTAAGGCTATAACGGCTGCCTTCCTTCAAAGTAAACCAGAGGCCTTTGGGATTCCCACATTCAGGCACTGGAAGAACAATGTCAGGCCGGCCTGATGATTTGATAGCAAGGCTCAAAATCTTAACATCCGGCTCAAGAGTTTCTAATACACAAAAGAACACAAATCATGAAGGGATTTGGAATTTGAAAAAAAAAAATTAAAAGGGTTTGTGGTTTTAACCTCCAACAGATTCAAAATCCACACCACCCAGAAGCTGTTCCTTCCACCTCCTCAGGCTTTCATCATCCTAAAAACAGAGAGTTCAAGATGAACTAAAAGAAAACGAAGAAGTTCTTAAAAAGGGGGAGAGTTAATGATACCTTATCCTTCTCGTTGAGTTCTTTCAAAGTGTATTGAGGACCCAATTCGATTTTCCTTCCATCTTCATCGTCTTCCTCTTCAGTAGCACAGATTGAGGACTCACTCATTTTTCGACTCAACCCAGAAGTCGCATCGACGTCTTCTCCATCTTCAGCTTTTTTGGGCTCAGAAACTTCGGGAGAATCGTCTTCTTTGTCCAACCCCATTATCCCTTTTGAACTCGAACCGACTTCAACGGCCAGAGACATCAACAGGCCATCAAATGGCACAAACAGAGGAAAAACAGAGTAACCCACCAGTTTAAAGACAAACAAAACAGAACCCAGATAAGAGAAAACGCTTAAGAACAAGAAGAAAACCCCAAAATCCGAATTAAAGAGAGGAATCAGGGTGAGAGAGAGAGAGGAAAAACAAAAGAAATCCAAGACAGAGTTAGATAAATGGATCAAAGAAACAGAGAAGAACCCAGAAAGGGAAAAAAAGAAGAAGCCCACGAGAGAATTAACCCTTGTGAGAAGAAAAAGAAGAGGAGAGAGAGCGAGGGAATTGGGCAAAGGCGGTTAGAAAAAGTTGAAATGGGAGAGGGAAGGAAGGAGTCATGTGGTGATCCGAAATTTGATGGGGAAAGGTGAGGCAGTCAGCGCCGTTAGGCCACGAATACCAAGATTTGAGGAGGGGCTGCGAGGCTCGATCACTTGGAGAAATTGGAATATGAGCAGCGACACAAACGTACACCGGATATCAAACAGACTGCCCCCTCAGGGTTAGGTGGACCTATCCCACCCCCTTTGACATTTTTTTTTATGTTGGACCATCAAGTTTAGGTCAAGATTCCATTTTTAAATATTTTAAACAAAAGTATTGAAACATATATTTAATCCTTTAAAGTTATTTGTTTTTTAAGTATTTTTAAATATAAAAATATAATAATTACAGATGTCTACGAGATGGGTCGGGATAGAGATAGGGTTCTTGCAATAAAAATTGGCAAAAATGGGATTGCGCGGTACCTCTAAAATATAGTGCATAACGAAAGGTATTATTTGGTATAGATAAACTTTCCGGCAGAACGTGGGCTAGACTTTAGTTGCGCAATGGTAAGTACAACCAGGCCGTTGAATTTGGACCCTTCAAGGTTTGCTCCTCACTACATATGACGGGACCCTTTGAACCGCGTAAGGTATAGTAGTTTGACTGAATCTCTAAGTGGGACCCCTTGTTCGGCCAATTCTATTCCGTGTAGTGAATATACTACAGTCGAAAATGTTGGTAGAATGACCTTGGATCCTTTGGATCCATACCAACTTGGTATCTATGTATATATATATGATGAGTGGGGCAGGGGTAGGAACGGGGATGTGGAATATATACTCGTCCCTGACTCCATTTAGCTAATGGTAAAAAATGTCTCCTCTAATTTTTTTTTTCTCCATTTAAAATAAGATTTAATATGAACCAATGCATCTCAGTCATGTATGTTATTTTTGTAAATGATTGAGTTTTAATTCTACCGAGTTTAAATTGCATGTTTAGAATCATTCAAACTTGATATTTGTAAGGAAAAGTTAGATTAAGAAATAACGTTCAAAGTACACAAGGCTTCAATGGGTTGGAAAACCCCTTCGATTGGATTAGCCATTATCAACACGTTTTCCGACGACATCAATCGACACACAAAGAAGAAAGGAGAGCTTAGCCTCTTATCACTAAGAGGGAATTGCTCAACTATGGTATTTATAGATGGTACAAGATATTCGGGATCCCACATGGAAATTTGTGGTTTGGATCTTCCATCCGAAGCAAAAGTTGAGGAGATCACTAAGTTAAAACAAACGGGTTCAGTATTATAGGAACAAGAAATTCACTGTCCATGCGAGTGAATGGGCGTTGGAACGGAGAATATGTACTCATTCTCGTTGATTCGAAAGCACTCTTAAAGGCTGAAATGAATTAGAGTTAAACACCTTTGCGGTAGACTTATTTGTGCTACAATTGACGCACTTTAATATTATCCTCCGTGTTAATCGGTTTCAAACATTGTCCTCTGTGTCAAAGGAATACATTCCGGAACTCAATTCCTAACATCCAACCATTATCCAAGACATATAATTTCGGAATAAGGTACATAAATGATCAACTCCATAAATTTGTCTGGGTTTCTTTTTGACCAAAGCTCGTCTTCAGTCAAACGTGAGCAGAGCATCTACATCATTTGCACGAAGTGTTCCACATATTGTCTGGTTCGGTTTGCGACTCAATGGAACTATTTTACAAATAATCTCTCATGGATTTATCGACGTATTTTTTTCTTAGCAGGAACAAGTTATGATCGAGTTCCTCCACCACGGTAAGCCCAGTTATTTATTCAAATTATTGTTTTTAATCAAAATAAAATGGTAATTTATAAAATATATGTTTACTTAAGATTTAATTAAAATTTACGATTCAATTTCACTATATACTACTAATAATAAAATATTAAATTAAATAAGAATAAAATAAATATAGATAGATATAATTATATTAAAAAAAAAAAACCAATAAATTGATTAAACCAAAATAAGTTAATTGAGTTAATCAAGTTTTTATGCGTTAGATCTTAGTTAATTTTCAAATATTACTATTTAAATAGTAATTCATAAATTCTGCAACAGTCTCAACCCTCTCCTTCCGCGACGGACTAAACATCAAACATTTCAGTTGTGAAGCCCTCTTGGCCTTCATAGTTCGATTCTCAACGGAGCTCGCATATCGGATCCAGTCATGGCGGAAGATCTAGTTCTCGACACTGCCATCAGAGATTGGGTGCTGATTCCGCTCTCCGTCGTCATGGTTCTCATCGGAGTTCTCCGCTACTTTGTCTCCAAGCTTATGCGCTCGTCTCCAGTCCCCGATGCCAAAGTCGTACGAGAAGGGTAAATTTTGATTCATAATCTTCAGAATTCGTACATCATTCATCTTGTTAGTTCTTGACGCATTTTTTAATTTCTGGTTTCAGGCAAATCGTACTTAGGGCTCGGAATTTACGATCTGCGGCTAACTTTATTCCCCAGAAGTCGTTTCGTTCCCGCAGAGTTTATTACGGCAACGAGGTTTGTTTTCCTCTTTTTTCAATGTAGTTTGTGATGCGTGTCGGTTCTAGCATGCCAAATTTAATTCATTAAACCTTTTTAGAGGAATCGTTTTCAATGTCCCTTGTCGTTGAATGATGCGTAAGGTGTAGAAGGTTTAATTTTTGTTTCGAGATTCAACTGGCGTTATGAAGTGCAGTCAGAACTGTTATAAGAGCTCTTTATTATTTCTATTAGCTTGTTAAAATCAGTTTAGTCAAGTTGTGCATCTGTTAGTCTTCTTGATTTGTTTAATTTGTTGAAAATTAGTTAACGCTCCTCCTCTTTATTTGATATCTGAGATTTGATTCAATAAGGAGTCTCCTCAAGATTCATTTGATGGTATCAGAGGAAGCTTTAATAGGTTAAAGTTCATGAGATTCCAATCTTATTTTCTCGAAGGGATACAAGCAGCTTATAGTTATTAGAGAAGAATCTTGGATTTACAGATAGAGTATTATGCAATATCCATAAGGTTTGATCAGTTGTAACTTGTATGATTTATTGCATCCTTGAATATGGTGACGTGTGGATGCCATAAATTGTGCTGCCAATGGGAATCTATGTGTGAGAATGGCTGCAGTGAGATTGTATATCTTGTAGAATGATTTTGATGCAACTATGATATTCAAAGTAGCACAGGAGGATAAAGAGAACCTGATACCCTATATATTTTACACATGCAATTGGCAGGAGAACGGACTGCTCTTTGTTCCCAAAGGCCAGGCCCAAAATGCACAAGCACAGATGTTTTCGGATCCAAACATGGCAATGGATATGATGAAGAAGAATCTCTCCATGATTATACCTCAGGTGACTATAGTTGCATATTCGATCACTATTCTTTTCACTGATATCATATGAAGTTCAATTTACATTTTTATTCATCCTTTCTTCTTTGCTAGACCCTAACTTTTGCGTGGGTCAACTTTTTCTTCTCCGGATTTGTAGCAGGTATGTTCTTCATACTACTATACTTTTGAATGCCTGAGGGTAACTTTTTTTGGTTGAGTGAATCTCCAAGTTATCTAGATTATATAAATTCCATACTTTTTAGGTGTTAAATGGTATGTTCTAGCACTAATTATGTTTTTTAATACATGGGAACTTTGTACGATTATTTATATATCTTGTTTACTGTATCTTTCTGTTTCTCTGCCATTTCCCCCCTCCATTTCTGATAGTTGGTTATAACTAGTAGAAAAAGTTTTCAGGTTTCTTATTTTTGTGCACTGAAAGCTGATTTTTCTACCTGTGTTAGTATCACTTTTCTTTTCAGCCTCCAATTTGTGGTATCTAATCGTATCTTCTCTCCTTATCTAGCAAAAATACCCTTTCCACTGACTCAGAGGTTCCGGTCGATGTTACAAAATGGGATTGATTTGAGTACTGTGGATGTCAGCTATGTCAGTAGCCGATCATGGTACTTTCCAAGATCAGTTAAATATTATGGTGCCTGTGTTACCGTCATCTGAAGATTTTTTTTTTTTTTTTTTTTTTTTTTTTTTTTTTTTT